TGGGAGCATTAAGAGACAAATTAGCAGTATTCGAGTTAGAACAAAGTGTTGGCTGAGTAGTCAATAAGGTGGATTGTTTAGAAGAAAAAGTGCCTACAAGGGAACTGGACGACGAAGTGATAAGGATCGCCAAGCCTGGATACGCTCAAGCACAAGACCCCCTGATTAAAGTGAATATTGGCAATGAAGGAGAAGATCACCCAACGTTCATCAGCCAAATGCTCGATCAAGAGGTTAGTGATAAATTAATCACTTTATTAAAGGAGTATAAAGATTGTTTTGCTTAGGAATATGAACATATGCCTGGTTTAGATAGAGATTTGGTGGAACATAGATTACCAACCAAGCCTAATTTTAAACCTCATAGGCAACCTCCTAGGCGTTTCGTTCCTAATGTACTCCCTGAAATTAAGGAAGAGATAGAGCGATTATTAAAAGCAGGCTTTATTAGAACGGCCAAATATGTTGAATGGTTGTCCAATATCGTGCCAGTATTAAAAAAGAATGGTAAACTAAGGGTGTGCATAGACTTTAGGAAACTAAATATAGCCACACCTAAAGATGAATATCCAATGCACACGGTAGATTCTTTAGTAGACTCGACTGTCGGACATGTAATGTATTCCTTCATGGATGGATATTCAGGATACAATCAAATTTATATAGCTGAGGAAGATATACACAAAACTGCCTTTAGATGCCCTGCGTCTCTAGGATGTTTTGAATGGGCGGTTATGCCTTTCGGCTTTCCTTCATGGATGGGCATGGAGCAACTTATCAAAGGGCGATGAACCTGATTTTTCATGATATGATAGGCAAGTTTGTTGAGGTGTATGTAGATGATATAGTCGTCAAATCCATTAAAGAAGAGGACCATTTTGAACAACTGAGATGTTCATTTGAGCGAATGAAGCAATATAAACTAAAATTGAATATCTTGAAATGTGCATTTGGTGTTAATGCAGGAAACTTCCTTGGTTTCTTAGTACACAAAAGGGGGATTGAACTTGATAAAAATAAAGCGAAGACCATTTTAGAGGTCAAACCACCTAGCAACAAAAAAAAATTGCAAAGGTTTCTAGGCCAAGTAAACTTTTAAGACGCTTTATTTCTAATTGTGCAGGGCAAACTAAAGCTTTTTCGCCGCTTTTAAAGTTGAAAAATCAGGACGAATTCGTCTGGAAAGAAGAGCATCAAAAGGCTTTCGAAAACCTAAAGACATATTTATCAAGTCCACCAGTGTTGGTATCACCAATCCAGGGACGGCCAATAAAAGTGCATGTATCGGCTGAAAAAGAATCAATTGCTGGAATGGTCGCGCAAGAAGACCAATTTGGTGAAGAAAGGGCGATTTACTACTTGAGTAGACGGTTAACAAAATGTGAATGTAATTACTCTGCCATTGAAAAATTATGTCTTGCATTGTATTTCACATGTAAAAAATTAAGGGCTTATTTACGGCCCGTAACCGTTTATTTGATTTCCAAAGTTAATTTGGTTAAGTATATGTTCTCTCGCCCTATTTTACATCAAAGGGTAGGCCTTTGGACGTTAGCATTATCAAAATTCGAAATACAATACATACCCCAAAAGGCAATCAAAAATCAGGCTTTGGCTAATTTTCTGGCCGATCATCCATGCCTTGACATGCCTGAAGAAATTGACTTAGAAATCAATTTGTTCGAATTAAAACCTTGGATTTTGTATTTCGATGGGTCAAAAACCTCTAAAGGTGCAGGAGTAGGAGTAGCATTGATAAATCTTTTAGGGATTTGCTACAAATTCGCATTCACTTTGGATAGAATGTGCATCAACAATCAAGTCGAATATGAAGCCTTAATCGTGGGCTTAGAATTAATGATAGATATGGAAGTAAAGAATGTGATCGTTAGAGGTGATTCTCAATTGGTAATTCACGAATTGATTGGTGATTTTAAGTGCCAAAGTGATTCCATTATAAATCTATAAGAAATCGCCCAAGAGTTGTTGGAAGAATTCGACCAAGTAGAGCTTCAATGCGTTAATATGATATATAATGACGTGGCAAATGAGTTGGCCCAGATGGCCTCAGGGTACTCGAAGGTTTTAAATTGGGAGTCTACTTATGAGTATGGAACAATATTGCCCGTGGTCCAAAGAAGGGCGAGAACGATCGAAATTCATTACATACAAGATGGAGATGCAATAGATTGGAGGGCATAGATTAAAAGGTTCCTTAAAGAACCTAATAAAGGAAATAGTAAAAAAATGAAGTTGCGTTTGTTAAACTATACACTGATAGATGAATAGTTGTTTAAGAAATGCTCTGATGGTATATTGCTAAAATGTGTAAGTTTGCAAGAAATCAGAACGATCATGGCTGAAGTGCATGAAGGGATATGTAGAGCTCATCAAGCTGGCCAAAGGATGAGATGGTTAATTATTAGGAATGGATATTTTTGGCCAAAGATGGGAGAATCATGCGTTCAGTATGCAAAGAGTTGTCTAGCATGCCAAAAGCATGGTCCAATACAAAGGGCGCCAGCATGAGAGATGGCACCTATTATCAAACCTTGGCCGTTTAAGGGTTGGGCGATAGACTTGATGGGGAGGATTTATCCCCCATCGTCCAAGCAACATGCCTTTGTTATAGTTGCAACTGATTATTTCACTAAGTGGGTAGAAGCGATACCTTTAAAGGAGATCACCCAAAAAAATGTCATAGAATTTATCCGTGATCATATTATTTATAGATTTGGAATTCCACAAACTTTGATGGTAGATCACGGAACTTCCTTAAATGGAGATCAAGCGAATGAATTCTTGAGCGAGTTTGGAGTTAAATTAGTAAACTCCACACCATATTACGCTCAATCCAACGGACAAGCAGAATCTTCTAATAAGATTCTAAAAAATATCATAAGGAAAATGATAGATGAAAATGCCAGAAATTGGCACGAATGTCTTAACAAGGCCTTATCGGTTTATAGGACGTCGCCTCGGTCAAGTACCAAAATTACTCCTTTCCAACTTACTTATGGACAGGAAGCCGTTTTCCCTATGGAAATCAATGTGCAATCGATCAAGTGTGTTTGCAACATAAGTTAAGTGGTGATGAGTATACCGAATTACTAGTTCAAAACTTATTGGAGTTGGACGAATTAAAGTTGGACGTCTTAGATAGATTGCAAGTTCAAAAATGAAGGATGGCTAAGTTTTATAATAAAAAAGTTAAAGCCAAGTCGTTAAGCCTGGGCGAATTGGTTTGGAAAACAATACTCCCTTTGGATAGCAAAGATCCAAAGTGTGGCAAGTGGTCGCCCAATTGGGAAAGACCATATAAAGTAAATAGTCTGTTGCCTAATGGAGCCTATCATTTGGAAGATTTAGATGGCACCAAGCACATGAGGTTCATTAATGGTAAATATTTGAAAAAATATGTTCCTTCCTTATGGGAAAGTGAACAAATAAAAGTATAATCAAATCGCGTTGAACGATCGTAAATAAAAAAGGGTCAGGGCGAAATACGCTCAAATAAATTCCTTTGTTATCAAACGTTCATTACAAAGTTGCAAAATACAAAATACTAAATGCTCTATAAGTTACAATTGAGAGCAAACTAATCTCTAGGTCGATCGCCAAGTAAGAGGGTGAACTGACCTTGATTGCTATCCTGATCGCACTGCTGCAAAGGCAAGCAGAGAAGCCGAGAAGAACTCTCAGCAAGCATAAGGGAAGAAGAAGCACCCTCACATTGCCTTCCTAAATGCATCGCTGCAATAACGGGCAAGGAGGTTGAGAAACACTCTCAGCAAGCAATGTGGCTTTCAGGCATCCTAAAAAATTGTCTTCCATCATCGAACTCCTTGTAAGGAACATGGAGACGATGGGAAGAACTTCGCTGGCCAAAGAATATTTCCTATATCTCCCATACCAAAGGTGACATAAAAAAAGATGGCAAAATGGGCGGATCAAATGATCCATTTCCATGGAAGACGAAGGTTTTGGATCGATTGTCAAAATGCCAAACAATGACAGCAAACTGGTTTTGAAGAAGAGAATGGAAATGAAAATGACAACTGTGGAATATAAGTGCATTTATAGGGGCGTGAAGGTGAAGAGACAGAATATGAACAGCCACATTCGTGCCTAGTAACTGGAATCAAATGATCCGAAGTCTTGGGAAAAGAGACAGAAATACCAAGAGAAAATGTGCATGAATCTTAGCATAAAGCAGTTAAATGCTTGGGGGGTTGACGATTAAAGACGACGTCAATAAATACACAAGAAGACAAATTAATCGTTCATTAATGATAATGGCTGCTGGTACGTTCGAAATTACCAATGGACATCAGTACGAGGTTACAAGGGGAAAGTTAATATGAAGTTACAAAAAGAAAAGTTAAGGCATTATATGTCTTAATTACAATTCGCCTCAGACCGAACGAATTCTTTCCCTAAGTCTCCCCCAATCCTCGCTCTGCCGAGAAGAAGTGATATCCAATTCATCTACAAAATCATCATCAACTTCCAGCTTCTTGTACTGCTCGACCAAAGACTTGGTTCGCTCAATTCCTTGGGAGGCATTATGTTTTTTAGCAGCCATTTTCGCCTTGCAGTCGTCCATCCTTGCTTGAAACTCCTTCATCTGTGCAGCCAAACTGGTCATCAAAGAGTCTTCAATCATAACTTCGGAAGAGATTTCTTTCAATTCGTCCTCAGCTTTGTTGATCTCTAGAAGTAAAGACTCTCTTTCAGATACAGCGCGAAGATATTGAGTAAGATATTGAGTACTCTTGGCCTTCAGTTCAACATTTTTGGCCAGTAAGGAGAGAATCTTGGAATGGACAACTTTCAACGTCGCTTTAAAATCAGCAGAAAGATTGAGCGATGGAAGTGTCAGTGCTAGCGCCAACTTCGCGCTCAAATGCTCAAACTTATCCTTATGTTTGGCAGCACTAGCCTGACCGATGTCCATATCCATAAAGGACACATGCTCAAATATCGACTTCTTGAGGAACTTCATATCTTCGTTTGAAGAAGCAGAAGGACGACCAGTTGAAGCAGGGCAAGACGTCTTGACTTGCCCCTAGGAAGTGAACAAGTCCTGGATGGAACGCACAATCTTATCAGCATCCTGCAAAGAAAATTGCCAACATTGAAGGTTTTCACTACAATAAACAAAGTGGAAGTAAAAGTGAAGCAAAGATTACCTCATCAGCAATCTTGGGAGGTGGCATATCCCCAGCCAAATCTACCACCTATGGCTCCACCACTTGTGAGGACTTCCACTTGTCTGGGCAAGAAGACTTTGCCACAATGGGCAAATCCATAGGAGCATCTGCAGAACTCAAAAAGCAACAAATCAAAAACCAATAGCACAAGCAAAGGTAAAACATCAAAAAATGTATTACCTTCTGGTTCGACGTTTGGGGGGCTGACGCCCTGGGAAGAAGGTGACTCATCCATTGGTTGTGATGAGGATTCCGGGACTGAAGGTTTTTCTTTAAATGTAGTCCCTTCATCAGCTGGTTTGGACGAAGCAGCCTCAGTAGAGGATGATGAAGCAGGAGCTGCCAATACCAAAGCTTTCAAAGGAGAGGCTGAACTTTTCTGAGAAATCCAAATAAACCATCAGCACATAGAAAAGTTTCAAGTATAGAAATGTATGCTTGTGAGTAAACTAATTTAATTACCTTTCTCCTGACGATGAGAGGAGTGTCATCATCATCATCATCATACTCCAAAATGGGAGATGCTGAGGCTGGCCGTTTGCGGCTTGGGGCACTCTTAGCTGCAGTGGGCTTGGCAGGAAGAGAAGTAGATGGATGAACAGACTGTTTAGCACGAGCAGGGGAGGAAGGACTCTTAATGGACACAGGAGTGAGCGAAATAGGAGAAGTGGAAGAAATGTTTGGCTGATCCAGTAAATGGAAAGCACGATTGGCATCAGTTGCAAACAATCTGCGCTTCACTGATAACCAGAGTCGTTCAAAAAGGGGGATGGATGGCATGGCTAGGATTGAAGGGGGCTAATGAAAAGTTACTCGTCAAAAGAATATTGCGAGCATCTATAGCTTCTGCCTCTGCCTTATTAATGGTGTGGAAGCGATCTATCAAATTTCTAGAATAACAGGGGGAAACAGGCCAAGTTTGGCCAAAACCAAGTTGACGAGCAAAAAATTGGGGAGCATATATTTTAACCCTAGCTTTGGCATTGGTTCCAGGCAAAATATCATGGAGCAACTCCCCCCGGTTAAAAAGTGAACCCAAACGAGCAGAGAGGTGCTCGCACTGTCCAGGGTGGATGGGGGTTGCACATAATCTGGAGTCAAAAGGGGAGGAAAAGGAAAGAAAGAAGGAATTGAATCCAAAGTATAGAAGAATGAAAAACATGTCCCTTCTGGACATATTTACAGGGCTTGGTGGGTCTATAGCTAGCCCATAGCAGCTAGCAGAATGAAGGGACAAGGATAGAACACCAAGTGATGGAAAATAAGCTCTCAACCACATTTGAGTAAACCAAAGAGGCCCACTGCCAGTGGGAGATGCACCATTCTTCAATTAGAATTGAAGAGAAGCCATGCCTCTATAGAGGGCAGCCAAAAAGAAAGAACACAAATTCAAAGGCCTACCACGCGCCAATTCGTGCGCTATGGGTAAATAGCTCATAGAAGGCTTCATGCTTGGCGCACACAGAATATATTTACAAAGCCAAATCTGAAAAAAGGCCACACGCTCAGCATGGGAAGGCTCAGCGCTCGAGTGATTATAACAGCTTTGCAGGCTTGAATAGGACTCGGTGAGTTTTCTGTCAAATTTTGGGGCGACACCAGAAATCAAAATACCAGGGAAAATGGTATCGCCCAAAGGTGGCAGATTTACTAGGGCCCCAACATCCCTTAAAGTAATGGACATGGGATCAAGAGGGAAAACAAAAGTATTATATTCAGAAGACCAAAAACTTAAACCTATAGGAAAAAGTGCTGGGTCAAAAATTGGGGGTTGAAGAGAGATTTCTAATAAATCAGAAATCCTAGCACTATCGAAAATTACCTTGGTAGGACCATGGCCCACAAGACGAGCATGCCATCTACGAAAAACAACATCAGATTTAGGTCAAGTGCGAATACCTCTTTCGCGAAGCGGCCTCAGCGGCAAAGAGTTTAGAAACGGAGGGCCTTGAGTAGAAGGGAACAACTGGCCCACCGCCACTTGTTCGACGACCTCGGCGTTGTTGAATGAAGGACCTAGATAGAACTCATTGAGTTCGGCATTGGCTGGTGCAAGGAAGTTCGGAGTTATATATGGCTGAGTGAGGATTTTCTGGAAGTCTTCGAAATTGAAAGAGTCACCAGATTGGGTTTGTGAAGTAGCCATTGGGCACAAAATAAAGTATTGTTGAAGTTTGCTTGAGAAACGTAGCAGAGAAGCAAGAAGATGAACAGTAATATTACGAGAGAGAAGCGCGAAACAATGAGGCGTGATTTAGTGGTGCAATGAAATGGCGTGTATTTGGGGGTTATAAGGGTTTGCAACGTCGCGCCTTTTCAGGCTATGGAAGAAAATAATGATTGAAATTCTTGGGAATTTCAAATGTTGTTGGGAAACACAAAGTAAATATGGCAAAGATTAATAATTGGTATTAATTCTGCCATATTGGGGGGTAATTGTTGACACACTAAAAGTGCAGTCCAAATCGAATAGCCCAAGGAATGAAACCCAATTAGGGAATCCCCAAATCAAATAGCCTAAAGAATGAAGCCCAACTGGGCAATTCAGGATAAAGGCCCAAATAGGGTTATTAATGAATGCAGTGGAAGCCCATGAATACGGTAACACCATCGCCCAAACTTGCAAGACGCCCAAGATCTGAGCGAATGAAGTGCCTTGCAGTCGTCCAGAGTTATGACCCTGTTCTCGCACAAACCTTCGAATCGCCCAGGATCTTAGCAAATATAAGATGTTATGGTTATCCAAAAGTGCAGTTATCGAAGCAGTTATTGAGTAATCTTATCACGTTCCACGATTCAAGGAGTTCAGTTGAAGACGATTGAACGACAAAGAGTAGTGACAGCAATTAGAGACGGCAGTTCCACGATAAGTTGGCCACCATGAAGAAAGTGGACAGTTATAAAGCAATTAAGCAGTTTCTAAGCGGTTGATTACGAAAAAATCATCAAAGGAATATAAAAGGAAGAGAAGACATAGAGCAAAGGACCCCGAATCAAACACTCTCAAACAGAGAATATGTAATTTCAATTTCTTAGTTTAGACTAAAACATTTCTTTTCAGTACTCGTGTGCTTCGCCCCTTGGAGGCATTCTGTTTAAGTTTCAATTGTAAAGTTATCGCCAATAAAACACCCCTTTTTGGGACTTTGTCTCAAGAGGTTTGTTCTTTACACAATAGTCTGATCCCTTTTTAATTGTTAGCGACTACCCGCGAGAAACACATGTGTTAGCATCTATACTCTCATGTTACTTCTGTAACTCAGGTGACATAGTTGCAAGTATCACATACGTTGCAGTACTATTGTCATCACTGCGTTTATTATAGCATCCACCTCTTTCTTGATCGAATCATCAGCAGATGTCTCTAGAAAGGACTACTCAAGGACATAATCGATTTTCTCATGCTTGAGAACAATTCTCAAATTGCAGTGCCAATCATGAAAATTCAGTTTGGTTGTTGACATCCAGTATGCCATTCACAACATATGGTTACTCAAGATTCAATATAAATGTAAATGACGAAAAGAAAAAGAATAATATATAAAATGCATCAATTAATTTAACATGGATTTTTATTAAATTAATTATACTCCCACTGTTTAACTAAAATTTATGACCCTCTTACATAAATTTATGGAGTTCATACTTGACTCCCAGTGGGCTGAGATCCCATCTATTATATTAAGACCTTGAGTGTACTCAACAAGTTTTAATATAACATTTGGGAAGATACTATTATCAATTGTATCTCCATACAACTCCCAGATCATTAAGCTGACAATTCTTTATCTTCACACATCATATGTGTTAGCTTAACATACTTCTAAAATTTATCTCCTTGAGTGTACTCAACAAAAGATAAATTTTAGTTAAGTCAAACCCGTCATTCAGAAATATCAAATATTTCATAGTCTCAAACATATCCCTAATAGACCAGCCTTGAGTGTACTTAACAAGTTGAGATGATTTGGGACTCTGATTTTTTCACTATAATAATGGAAGGCGATTAAAAATGTGACTTAATATTTCACTATATTTTATGTGACTTAAAAATGTGACTTATATATATATATATATATATATATATAATAGTGTGGACAATTATGGACTTTTACTATCTAGTATTCCCGAGCCATAAGGAAGACTAGTTGGTCAATTTATAGGGGGTATAGCATTGAACGGTATCAATGCACAATCTCCATGGTCTCCTCCTCTTCTTGTTTCTTCAATTAGTCCAGCTGCAACCTATACCTATACTAGTTGGCACACAGGCCTAAATGAAATTGGACTTGCAGGGCCATAGTAATAATAATAATAACAGACTCGCAGGTTCAAAATGATTATGAGCTCGCAGACTCATAATAATAACAATAATAATGGGCTCTCCAGCCCAAAACACGACAAAAATAAAATTAACCATTAACACATCCACATGGTCGAATCCATAATCGTCCACTAGTAATACATTTATCACATAAATATATGCCTATATAATATCTAATATTATATGCAAATATGTTTCAAGTTTCTAGCAATTAAGGTCGCCTAAACTCTTTTAGACAAAAGGATCGGAACAATTAAATAATTAATTAATCATATTAATCAATTATTTTAATTAGTGAGCATATTTAATTAAAATCAGATTTTAATTAAATATCGAACTAGAGTCCAACTCTAACTCCAAGATTTTAAGGCGAATTTATTTAATTAAAATCAAATTTTAATTAAACAACATATTAGAGTCAAGACAATTTAATTAAAATCAAATTTTAATTAAACGTCAAATTAGAATCCAATTCTAATATCTAGTTTATATTCGGGTGAATAATTAATTAAAATCAAATTTTAATTAAGTATTAAATTAGAGACCAATTCCAATTGAAATTGAATTGATATTTTAAATTAGGGTAATATTCCTAAATAAAATAAAATTCAATTTGGGGTCAAAGTTTAATATTTAAGTTAAAATCTAATTTTAACGAAAATATAAAAGTCGTCAATTTTAAATTAAATTTTAATTCCGGGTCAAAATTAAAATTATGGGTCAAACCCGTTTGAAATTCAAATTTAAAACCATTTAAAATTTAAATTCAAAACCCCCTTTTTAAAATTGCATATTGACCCTAGTTTAAAATTTCCAACAGGGCCCCTTCATTTCATAAATTTCGGAACAGGTCCTTTTTCATAAATTGCAGACTTGACCCCCTTATATCATATTGCAGCAAGGGGCGTGCAATTTCCTAAATTACAACTGAAGCCCACGCCTCCAACTCTTCCTCACCCGACTTTGAAAACCTTAGAGTCCTAATATTTTTTTTTTTCTTACCTCTTCTCTTGGCCGGCGCAGCCCTAATTACCCGGCAAGCTTGCCGCCTAAAGACGGTGGGCTCTTGCTAGCCGCCCTTGCTGTTGCAGTGCGGGCGCCAGCGGCGCATTGCCGTTGCCCCAGTGCCGCCATCCGCTGCCACCTCTTTTTTTTTTTTTTGAATCAGATTTCAAAAATATAAAATTAAATTTCCACTTAATTGCTAGAAACAAGAAAAAGAAATAACAATTAACATTTGACTGTTCAACAATACAAATCAATTTCTAACAAATACAAAGGAGGCTCTGATATCATTATTAGGAATCTACTTAACGTGCACAGCGAAAATTAAAATAAATTTTGATTCCCACCAGAATTCATCATTGTGTTTAAATAGAAATTGGGATAAAAACTGTACCCTTTATAAGATCTACAAACTTCTTTGCTTTTCCCTTGTTCCAGCAGCTTTGATCTGCCACCCACACCTGTCCAATTGTACAGTCTCCAACGTTGATCCATACAGAGAACAGATTGCAGCTACCAGGATTTTCTCCTCTTGTACTAGAAAGAAAAATTACGAGAAAACTATATGGATTGAAAACCCTAGGCATGTATTTATTTAAGCCCAAACGGGCCTGGCCTAGTCTGGTCCGATTCAATATTTAATTAATTCATTTAATTAAATCCCGTCCGTGAATTAATTAATCCAATTAATTAATTCGAGCTTATAAACAACCAACCCAATTAATTAATTTATCCAACAATTGTTAAATTAATTAATTGACAAATTGCAATCTTCCAATTCTCTTTTGTGTACGACCCATCAGGTTCCCGATCACGATACCTAACGACGTGAAATATTATTTTGATCTAATCAAAATTGATAAATTAAAACACCCTTTTAATTTATCACCAATTCACACTCGTCATCCCAGATTGACACCTAGCAATGTGTTAGGGCAATACATGTGACGGGGAATGTCATGTGGTATGACAAAATCAAACTTGTTCGTTTACCGTGAAATTATAATCCATTCGTCAATATGATCCGATCAATTACAAGATATGAAAGTGTGTCAATCCCGAATATCAATCATATGTTTCACTTCACTATTAAGTCAATGTAAGTTGAAAACTCCTTTTCGACTTATGAGTACACCTTAGCCAAGGATTTCGTTATCGACTTAATTGAATGAAACGCAAATTATAATCTCCTACTATCTAAGAGTGACGAATCCTTTATTGATCATTCACAATCTTTATATGATTCTTGACATACCCGAACAATCTCGTATTAACGGCTTTTGACAGAGCAACATCCAACACTATCAAAGTATGACTGTCCTCATATAAGATATTATGCCGACCTCAAGTCAAATGACTAATCTCACTATCGAATATTAGAGATTAACCACTGACACTCAGATAGTTATCCACGTGGAATCTCTCGATGGGTCTCCAATGTTTTGTTCTATAACAAAATATCCACGTGTTCATTTAAGTGTCAATACACTTTAGTTTTTGAGATCAACTACTTACTTCACAAGTAAGAAATGCCACACATGATGGTTTATCCGTTATAACGATATCCACATCTCGTTATTACTTATGACTACGAACGGTTTAAGATTCAATCATATGTAATTTATATCTCACAATCACAACTCCTTGTGATTAACAACTTACGAAAATTTGAATCTACGGATTCTATTATTTAATTTAATTATCTATTAAATAATAGATCTGTCATTAAACTGCATTAATTATATATTAAGAATATTTATGTCCAAGGTTGATTGGACCTAGGACATAACACTTACAGTGCTGCTTGACCATAGGACTCAATCATCCCAGTATATGCCTTGGAACTCGGAACCAATCCTCTCATTCATATGAAGCAGAATTCTTTTCACATCCTCGTGAAGCCCTCCCTTTCCACATGCAAAAATCAATCCCTCACAAGTCTTCATATTTGGCCCAACATTCTCTTCTACCATGTCATGGAACAAAGTCACCACCTCCTTGAAATAGCCTCCTTCACAGAACACCTCTATGAGTATATTATAGGTATTAGTGGCCGGCTCCATGTTACTAACCTTCATCTCAAGAAAAAGCTCCCTCATATTGTCATATATCCCATTCCACCTGAACAAATTCAACAAAATACTATATGTCCCTGCATTCGGCAAACATCCTGCTGCCTGCATTTGCCTAAACACCCCCATCGCCTCCTTTATCTTTCCTGAATGTGCATATGCCTCCAACAACACATTGTAACACATAATCTCTGGCAAATTCCCTCTTGCTTCCATCTCCTTGAGTAACTCTGAAACCTTCTCCAATTGCCTCAACTTCCCAAAGGTCTCCACCAAATAACTATACGTAGTAATATCAGGTAAAACTCCACTCTTATTCATTATCTTAAACACCATCTCAGCCTCACCCCCCAAACCTCTACTTGCGCATACGCTCAACAGTGTATTATATGTAACCAAGTCTGGCTGAATTCCTTCAAGCCGCATTTCTGCAAACAAACTCAACAAATCTTCCCACGAATAACCACCTCTTGAGCACGAATTAATAACAGTGTTATAAGTTAAAATGTTCAGAATAATCCTTTCATTTTTTATCTTATCAAGTAACTCTAGTGCAGTCTCGTACTGGCCGTTGCGGCCATAGGCATTAATAATCGCAGTGTATGGAAGTATAGTCCGAGGGATAGAACAAAGATTTCGGCGGATTTATACAAGAGGCCTTCGCGGCCAAGGATGCCAATGATAAGAGAGTATATATGCTCATTCGGCTTGCATTAGACCTGGCACTGCATATGCTTAAAAAGTCGAAAGGAGCGCTGCCAGTCGCTCCAGTGGGCGAATTCCCTGAAAACATGCGAAAAATTGGTCAGAGACAGCTTGTTCTTGAAGGTGTCAAGACATCCGGCAATGCTGCCGAGGGGCGGGAGGCTAGAAAGCTTGTTGATTAATGTCTCAACATCGTAGGTGTACTTGCCCATTTCCAATGTCACACTTGGGATGCCCAAAATGAGTTCTTTGGTCTTGGCCTTGGAAACTATGGAGAGGCGATAGAGGTGGGGTTGGTGGTGGAGGAGGGTAGAGAGAAAGGAGAGGAAGTGGGGAGTGTAGGTGGAGGAGGGGACGAGGATAGAAGAAAGACAATGATGGTCAGTGATGAATCTAGGATTTTGAGTCAGCACGGGTGACCGTCGATCATAATAAAATATTAATAGCTCGTTGGATGTCCTATTTTTACAAAAAAAAAAAAACTTTTTAAAATAGTGATTTAATGAAGAATGTGTGGTTAAAAATAAGTGCAAGTTTTGAATTGTGTAACGTATGATTAAACATAAGAGATAGAAAAATGCATTCTGAAATAAATAGGAATCAAACAAGGTCCAAAATTTAAATACAATAATTTATTTTGTTGAAATTGAACATATATAATTTTGTTATAAAAAGTAAAATGTACTCACCAAATGATATTTTTGCTAAGTTTTGTATAGTTCAAAGGAAGAGCACATGTTTCAATCTTTATAATTACATTAAAATCGCTAAAATCTAACATATATTTTTTTGTTTAATTAGTGCCACAAATTAATAGTTGTCTTAGTGGTCAGAGTCTCAACTAGTTGAATTAAACTTTGCAGGTTCGAATTTCGCTGGCACCATTCATTATTACATTAATTTTTGTAAATATAGTATAACTAAAAATATTTGTACATTGAGTTGGATGGAAAAAATTCGAACCCAGGACCTCAAAGACGTGTATGCAGGGTCTAGCCAATCGGCCAGAAGAAATGCTGGAGATAAAGGTGAATTATCAGTAATATAACATAAACCATTGACTATCAACCAAAAAAAAAATAAAATGGCGATCGATGGATCTAGTACAGACGACCGCGGGAGCTCGCCAGGTGCTGAATCTGCCACTGATGATGGTAGGATAATGCCATTTTGGTCATTAGCACATATAAGCTGTGGGTTGAAGGGTCTAACGACTCAAAACTGAAACTCCAACTCTGTGTGTGTGTGTGTGAGAGAGAGAGAGTGAGAGATCTGGTGGTGTATGTATATGTACCATGGGGGTGAAAAGGAGTGGGGTGAGGTGATTGAAAAGTGAAAACAATCATGCTTGTTGTACCAGTGAAAATGGTTATACTGTGGTTGACAAAGAAGGGAGACACATCGATTTTGATATTTTTGTGTATATATTGAAACAAACGTGATTTAAATTTTATGCTAAAGTCACATTTTTACCCCAACTTATTACTTTTGTTGCATCTCAGTCCTCAGTTAATAGTAACTATCCAATTTTGCGTTAAATATACATGTGGGTCTCACACGTCAAATTTCTAAGGGGCAAAAAATTATTTTAATAAATGTAAAATAATAGTAAGAAAAAAAAAATGCAAACCAGCACCGTGTCCATGACCTCCAATTACCCTTACAAATGCCACCATCATCCTTAGCCGTCACCTAGAACAACAATCATGTGCATTCATCATTGGTTAAAAATGATGATAAACATGAAATACTAATAGAAGCTACTAAACGAGGGAGATTGATTTCAATTTTACTTCATAAATATACTCATATTTGCAGACTCTATTTCTAAAGTTAATTCGATTTTTTAATTGATAAATTGGAGGTTGAATTGAGTAATGGGGGAAGTGTACAATTGTTTGAAAATCGAAGGTGGCAATGAATGGTGGTGGAAGGTGGGGTTGGTTGAGGTCTAATTGGACAGTCTTCATCCCTAAGGACTACGGTACGACAAAAATAATATGTGAGGGACTTGCATTCCAAAATTAATAGATTAATGAACAGTTTGATACTAATAGTGCAACCTTCTAAAATGTAATTTTATTGGTCCCCAGAAACCCCAACTAGACCTGACCGGTTGACCATTACCTCGTCGGCATTTTCGTTAATAAGCCTGTGCAGGGGCAATTCGTAACACGAGAAGCTCTAGTTCACAACAGATTGACCAAAAAACTAACTCCTCTTTAGTCTTAAAAAAACGTCAAAAATGCAAAAAAATTTCGATGGGTTGAGGAAACCCATAAAGATTTAAAAAAGAAGTTCCTCATAATGGATGCCGACGAGGTAAATCCCTGCCGCCAACAGCCACCCTCCTCACTGTGTCGCCACCACTCTTATTTCAAACCATCCATGATCCACCAACTACCTCACTGATTCCCCTATTAACGTTTCAGTTCTTGATTTTTTAGTTCTTACATTCATTTCTTGTCTACAAAAATGGGATTTGTAATGGTTGGGCTGAACTTCAACCAAAACCGACCAATATTCACCACAACAACTTGCAATTAAAGATAACCAGCTGGAATTAACAACCCAAGCTGTGATTTATTAACAAAATAAGGTTACAGTAAAGAAGAAAGACGAAGAGAAGTAGCAGAGAAATTGGGGAAGAAGAAAGAGGTACAATTTCAGACAAATACCAATTTGGCTGTGTTAACTTTCGTCCCCCAGTTAAGTACAGTAAGAGACGTGTTTTATAACAAAAAACGTATTCTTCTATAACAAAATATACAAATGAAACAGCGTCGCTCCTTTCACCCTTTAATTGCCGGTTAATTCCGTTTGCTTCTTTCCTTCTTCTTTCCCCAGCTGAAATCTGGCTTCAATTGTTCTTCTTCCTCATCACAGGATTTTGATTCACATTCTTAGTTGCTTTATTTACATTTTTACTCCGATTCTTGGTATTTTGTTTATGTTGTTTGATTTCAAATTTCTTCAATTGTTTTCCCATTTTAACAATTGGGCTAGATTTTAGTGTTATTTTTGGATTTTTTTTTTTTTTTTTTTTATCTTTTACTCTTGTTTTCTTGAATATATTTGTTATAAAGTCCATCACTTATTTTTTTTTAAAAAATGGAATCACTTTGATCTTCTGTTTAACCTTGCCTTCATTTTTATGTTGGTTCCTGGTGGTTTCTTCATATTATCTGTGAATTTATGTTTTTTTCTCCGGTTCTGAGTTAATTTAATCAATAGTCACTGAAATTTGCTACAATGCTTATTGAAATTTAAAAAAATTTCTTTGCTCACTTAACTTTGCTATAAATTACTTATTGCTTACCCAAATTT